AATCCTTTTAGAGTCTTACACCAGAGTCTTAACACACTTTCAAACACAGCAATAGCATTTAATCAATTCTGTAACTCTACAGTTTATATAATCCTGTATCACAGCAATACATTAACACTAAGGGTCTTTTGACACCATTGCTCTAGAAACTATCACTGTTTTGTGCCATAGGCTTTCTGCACCTTAGAGTGCCTAATGAATTTTTCAGTCCTACAACCATGAAAAAAATGTTGACTGTTTATTGCTTAGAATAAGAAAACAGTTACGGACCTGTAGGTGCTGCCATCCTTCACAAGTTAATGACTCTGAAAGTTATGCACTCAAATGTGGCTTCTGAAAGTGATAAGGCTCCTGAAGTAAAACTTTTGGAAGATGAGTGAAACTGTTTTTGTCTTACAGCTTCAAAATGTACAGCTGTTTATCATGTAAAACCTTTAACTCTGTGAATCAAAATTCATACACCAACTCTGACAAAAAGGGAAATAAATTTCTATTGAAACTTTTGTCTCTTCCAAAAGAAAGAAAAATCTCTAACAAACATGCTTCATATTTCTCTAAGTAGAAAGAAAGACAATGCTGATTATAAAAACTCTTCTATCAAAATCACTTCCTCATCTAGAGAAGTGTGTATAAATAAAACATATTTATTTACCCAACTATTTAACAGAAATGTGGATAGGGAAAGATGTAGTTTCTTGTGAAAGCTGGTGATAAAGAGGGATCCAAAATCTGCAGAGACATTAAATGTCATTGAAGTTACACCTACTACAGAGAACTGCACACCATATACAATGGCAATAATAGGTGTTTAAATATTGCTGCTCAGTCAACTGAAGTCTGAGGATTCCTGAATTATTAGGCACATTTTCTGCAAGAAATGAGGGACTCTTGGGAGATACACAATATTTTGGTGACAATCTGACATCAAGAAACAATTAGCAGATGAGGAGATTTCAGACACCCTTACCTTGGAAGACAGGCAACCAGAATGTATATCAAAACATGCCCACTGAAAATGGTTGCCAGAGGGCAAGATCAGCTCTATCCAAGTCAGTGCTCAAACCCAGACATAATACTTTAATCCTTCTGCCAAATAGTGCTGAAATGGGCACAACCTGTTGCCTTCAACCGTGAGAGAAATGAGCTTGGAATTGCTCTGCTTCCGAAAAAAATTCTTAACAACTTCAGTAGTGCTGTTATTAAGCTTCCATCAATGACTATGGATGTGACACCTTCCTTCAGGCACTCCCAGCAAGGCCAAGGAGGCTCAGGGACATTCACTTCCCCAGGGCTGTACCAGGCATGGATTTGCAGGCAGAGATGTAGTAGGGTGGAGGCTCCAAGGGCTCTCCCAGTCCTGAGGAATCTGAAGGCCCCATGATCCTCTCAAATATTTTAAGGGCAGTGCTGTTGCAACCTCCTGAGAAGAGAGAGCTCACCACTGAACAGCTGTAGGATGTCAAAGGGAAGAGCTGAGATTTTGGTTGGCTGGAGCTGTCAGGCAGCCAGAGCCTGCAGTTTGTCCCTGCAGGACCATCGGTGCCAAAGCTCACAGCCGGGTCATGCCCAGCCCAGCTTCTCTCTTGTGAATCTCTTGCATGGCAACAGAAGCTGCCAAAGGGTCTGTGCTGGTGTGTCACACTGCTGAAATCTTCAGCTTTCCTTCACACCTGTCAGCTTAATAATTTAAAGGTTTGCCAAGACCCAAACTTCAAAGTCCTCACTTTAAAAGATATGTTTCTATTAACCAAAAGTAAGAGTTAGGCATTTGCTCAGACAGCTAATGGGTATAGAGGCAAAGGACACTACTGGATGTAAAAATTTACCATGTTGTCTAACATACAGCTCAACATACAGCTGTCATTTCTTTTTCCATAAATCACCCCACCCATGGGCCAGGATTTACATCACAGCCTGTGCCAGCAGCCAAGTTCCTGGGTGCCAGCTGACATTGCACACATCAGGGCAGAGGCTCCTGACCTTGCAAAGGCAAAACACATATCACAGGCAACCAAGAGACAGGAACAAGAAGGAAATAACTCTTTGTCCTACTCCTTTCCCTCCCCCAGCCACTGTGCACTTGTCTAGGGAGTGGAAGAGGGCACAGGGCTTCCATTCCCACCACAGGCACTGCCAGTGTGCAAAGCCAGGCTTGCCAAGGTGCTGCTCAGACAACTTTGACCCTCACTGCATCAGATCCCTGCCAGAGAAGGACGGACATGCAACAGCCGATGGGAATGAGAGCTGTGAGGCAATGCATGAGGCAGAGTGAGACAGGCACTAGGAACTTTGCAAGGAATTTAAATCAAGCAGCTCTGGTAAGTATTTGAGTTTAAACACACGTGCTGTTTGGTCTAGTACAAGAGTGCTTTAAATACCTCCACTTGGTTGGGTTTGTGTAAGTAACACCATGCTCACAGTTTCATTTTACACTTTTACTCCCCAGTTATGTGCTCATCTTGCATGCACTTTCACCCAAATACACACATAATCACCTGTCTGGCTACATCAATCCCACTGGGGAATCTTGCAGTTGTAAGCATCACTAAGAATAGAGTACAGTATGCTGCCTTGAGTGCACGTGTGTGCTGGTTTTCTATCATCTGTTTGCCTGCCCCAAAGGCTGCTGATATAAACTGTCTTTGATCCTGAAAACACTCCACATTTTCATTTCACATTAACAATTATATGCTTATCTTGGACAGGAAAAGGGAAACTTTAAATGCAGGGTTGGCTACAACTTGTCTGCCAGCCAGTCTTCTATCACTTATTTGTGGCTTTCACTGCCTGGAAAACTGAAGAATACAAATCCTTTGCACAGAATATCCTAACACAGAAACAGAACTAAGTTAAGAAAAAATTGGGGGGAAGCAGACAATTTTCACAATACAGTTCCAGCTGACCCAATAGCTCACCACTATCCAAATGGAAGTCAGCAGGTCAGAAAATCAACCTACACACCAAATCACCACACTAGATGTGTTTTCAAGAAGTCCAAGAAGTTACCTGAGCAGGCACAAAGAGGAGGTGGGACTACACTGCTGGGTAGTAGGAAAAGGGCCAGAAGAAGAGTGGATCTCCCTGCTCAGCAGCAGCCAGACATTATGCACACTGACTTGTTCATGAACTCCCAGTCCAAGCAGATCTAAGCCACTTCTTATAGATTCATGAAGGAATGACCACAGGTAACTTCACACGATGGACAATAATTATTTTGTATCTGCAAATCATCTTGCCCAAAAAAGATGACTGTATTTCAATACCTTAATAAATAAAATGACAAATGTAATTCTTGATAACAACACAGATGAGCTGATTCTAGGAGCCTGATTTGATAACATTTCCTCAGTTTCTCCTTTGGGAAAGATTGCAAAACTTTTGCTTTTATATTTAACTATGAGGTATACAGAAAGATTAATGTGATCTTTATAGAAATTTTGTATTAGCCTGAAATCTTCAACTTCTAGTAAAATAAGTTAGGAACAACAGAATTCTTATCTGACACTTGGGTGCTCAATTCTGCACCAAATCCACTATGCAGGACCTATGCCAGTGTACTCTGTCACCCTAAAGGCTACTGTGAAGCAAAATCTCAACTTGGAGGAGGCACTCGTGTGTACTGCAGCCAGACCACCAAAATAACATTTACTTCACAAACAGGAGTATCACTGCTGTGCATCACAAAGTGGCACTTCTCCTTACTTCGTGGAGGCAAACAGTAACAGTGTCTGTACTAGCAGCAATGATGGTATCTGCCAAAGCAGGGAACATTTCTAACACTTTTCAGTGTTGTCTGACATCTGAGAAAAAAGTTTTTAAAAATTCAAGAAAAACTACTGGTAAAATATTTTTACTATCCCCTTCTAGTTACTTATGTAACACATTATAGCGAGATTTTTCTTCCTGAATCACAAGATGGTCCACCACCAAACCGACATTATTAAAATTACTTTTTCTCCTCTGTACTGCATAGGTAGAGCTGGCACACATAGCCAGCATACACCACAGAATTAAAAATTAACTGAGTCAAGCATTTTTGTTCAAGGCTCCTGGGCTGCTCACAACTCCAGTCACACAGCACTGTTAATTGCTGCTGGCACTGACAGTAGGGATCCCCTTCCATCTGCTGGGACCAGCTGATGCAAAATAAAAACAGTCCCTTGGAGCGAGGCGCAGCTCTGCGGGGTCAGTGCCCGGCGCCGCTGCCAGTGCCGGCCGGGCTGCGGGGAGCGCTGCCCTGCGCTCGCCTTGGCTCTCCGTGGGGTGCTCAGACACTTTATCTCTGGTTTCTTTGGGGTTTTTATCTTTAAAGACGCCGCTCTCCTGCAGCGTTTGATGCCTTTAGTGACGCAGCAGCCTCTCCGCAGCCGCCTCGCGTTGCCCGCAGGGCAGCAGAGGTGCCCGCGGCACAAGCCCCCGTGCGGGGCTTCACCTCCCCGGGCTCGCAGCGCGCCGCGGCCCCTCGTCCTCGTCGCTGCTGAAAGCGGGGCCGGAGCCCGGGGCCGCGATGGAAGCAGGGCAGGTGCTCCGGTGCAAAGAAAGTCCGCGGGGACAGACCCTCGCCCTCCGCCTCCCAAACCTCCCCCTCCCGCCGTCAGCGGGGCTGCTGCTGACCGCGGGTACGCGTCCCCGGCAAAGCGGGAGGAAGGCACCGCTTACCGGAGCTGCTCGCCGGTGAGCAGGACCTCGGCCATGTGCTCCAGCTCCGCCGCTTTCTGCTGCATGCTGCTCATGCCCTCCTCCATCGCCGCCGGCCTGCGGGCACAGCACCTCCGGGTGAGGGGGGACCGGGACTCGCCGCCCCCCGGCCGCGCTGCCCCCGCCGGCAGCTCCGGGGCGGCCCCCGAGCTCCGGAGCTCTGCGCGGGGGAGGCGGGCAGCGACAGCCACCTCCTGCCGCTCCGGCTCACCTGAGCGCCTCAGGTCACTTTTCCCCTCGGCAGGCTCGGATCCCTCCCGCCGCTTCCCGTGTTATTGTGTCACTGGCAGGCGGAGAAACACATGGCTGCAGCCGCCGCGCCGCAGCCGGGCTCGCCGAGGCAGCAGCGGCCCCCCCCGGCTGTCACACGGCAGGATCGGCGCTGCCCCCGCGGGAAGGGGCCGCTCCCCGGCGGGGGCTGCGAGCCGAGCGGCTGCTGCGCTGCCCTCCCCGCCTGCCCCGGCCCGGGAGGCGGAAAGCGGCGGCGCACGGGGGAGCGCAGCGCTCCCCGCCCGTGGCTCCTTCCCGCGGGTGCAAAGTCCCGCGTCCGTCCGCCCTTCAGCGCGGGGCTGCCGGGAGGAGCGGTGAGCTCGGGAGAAGGCGATCCGACTGCGCGGGAGGAGATGCGACTGCTGCCCGCTCAGGTAGTGCGGGCTGCGCCTTGGCAGCGATCCTTGGAGATGCAGCGCGGGGCAGGTAGCAGAAAGGAAGCTGGTGATCTGGGGTTTCAACCTCAAAAACTGTTACTGCCCTCCTGCTGTCCACATTTCCGCTTATCTGCCACCCAGGGGTTATTTTCAAACCCTGGTCCCCTGCTTACATCAACTCTTTGTCTCCAGGCGACAGAGGATGCAGAATTCTTGAGGGCAGAGGAATATTTTGTCTTGGAGACGGGAAATAAATTGCAAGGTCATGAACACTGTCAACATTTTTATGGGGGAAAAAATCGCCCTTTTCTTTAAAAAAAGTCCAGGAGGAGGCATCTTCTGCAGAGGTCCAACCATGGTTTTCATTTGCAAACACATGCAATACCTTGATTGCCTACTCATTGCCTTTATATCTGTCTGCACATACTCTGCGTGCATGGAAATTGTGTCTGCTAAAGTACTTGCAATACTGTCATTGATCCAGTACCAAAATTATAGAATCACAAGAAAAACTAAGAAGGAATCAAGTGAACCTAGTAGTAACGAGACTGCAGACAATGGGAAGAAGGTGTTGTTTGCATTGTCCATAGTAGAATTGTGGCATTTTTTACCAAAGGTGGCTCTGGATGTAAAAGAATGGACTTGGAACTAAGGAGAAAAACACTTGGAAAAGAAATCTACATGGGGTTACTAAGCAGACAGAAGTCACATCCAGCTCAGGAAATTCTCTGTTCTAAAAATAATGGTCTCAAAAGGCAAGCACTTGTGTGACATTTCATATGTGCTTTCACTGCTGCTCCCTATGCATCTGTTTATAGCCCCTGAGATGAACACAGGACTAGATGGACCTTTGGTTCAACCCATTAGAGTCCTTTTAATGAGCACCTTTGTGGGTCTCAAAGAGCACTAGAAGTCCGTGAATGGCAAAGGGAGAAAAACCACAATCTGCCTTTGTTTCATTTGGGCCAGAGAGAGGGACACCTTAAGACTATAAGCACTACCGTTTGAGATTATTTTCTGTAAATTTGGAAGACACACATTTAATCTTAATACTTGCAAACAGCCTCTAATTCCACTCATACTGAAAACATACAAAGTACAGATTCACAGAGGTGGAAACAAAAAGAGAATTGAAACAACCATCTCATCTGACCTTATCTTTAAGACAAAGAACGTACACAGCAATTTTTATCAAGCGCTTTATCACATGACTGAAGGAAAGACAATTTCAAGAGAATGTACATTGCAGATCATTTCTGGGTAAATCCTTGGCTCTACCACCTGGGTTTTGGTGATTTCATCCATTCACTGCTGCTAAAAGGAGATACACTGTTCCTCCAGGCCCTGGCAACACAATCTGCAATGTGTCTTGTGTTATCTCACTTCTAGGTCCTCTGCTTGTTGCAATTCAATTCAGTAAACAGACAGAAGAGTAACAGAAAGTGGGGAACTTTCTGTTCAGCGAGTAAGCAGAGCTGTGCAGACGTCTGCAGGGTGCAATGAGCGCCAGAGCTGACAGCAAGGTAGAACGGGCCCTGGCAGCTGGAAACAGGAACAAAAGCAGAGGAAGAGGGAGAAGAAGCTGTCCTCATGCAGTGACAAAGTGTAGTGACAGGGCGCTGGTGGAACTGCAGCCTGAAATCCATATCCTTCCCTGTGCAGTTTTGTAACCTGCAAAATGCGGGCCAGTACAAATTCCTGTAGTGGATTATTTAATGATTATAGAATTTCATGTTGGCCTTTGCACACTGATATCCCATTTGTAATTTGTTCCACATGTTCACACTGAAATTTCTTACAGTTACAGTTATCTTCAGAGGAGGGAATTGCCTATCAGTCACTCCAAGCCTGCTGTCCCCCAGAAAAGGGTAATGACATAACCTTGAAGGGTCATGTTGCAGGCAAGAGCCAGTAAAAAGCCACACAAAATAACCAGGTGGGATGTTTGCAACTTGTTTTTAATCTACAGACTGCTATAGAACATAAGGTCTAAGAAAAAAGTAGGTTGTGTTGACCCTTCCTCCCAAGGGAGAGGTCATGAAGACTAAAATGCTCCTCTAAGAGGTGGAAACTCTACAGCATGTGTAGAGTTTGAAATCCTAACAGCACGAGAGAGAGGCATCCCTCTGAGACAATCTCTGGCAAGTAGTAAAAATTTTTTTTTTTCAGATATGGGATCGGTTTTAGAAGTTGGTGCCTATTTCAGATATGAATACCTGAGTTTTACTTTAGCATGGCTGAATTTAAATGAGATGGAGATAGCTAGCCACCAATAAGGCATTCCTCAGCCAAAAGCAGGACAGATCTTTGAGCTGGAGCCCTGGGACACTTCAAAACTCATCCTCCATGACATCAAGAGAGTCCCAAAGGCTGCATAGGTCTGCTAGAGGGTTGGTATCACAGGTGTGAGGGGTAGCCCAAGGGACTTTTGATGACATTAGAGGCTCTCTGGCATGCAGGGAGGTATAAGGCAGTACACTTGAACCACCAAGGTCACAACGCTCTGTGGAAGCTCATGCATGAATAGGCACATTGTATTAGAGTACTGGGTTTAGAAAACATGTTAGTAGTTGTATAAACTTTCTTATCTCATTTAGTAAATGCCCAAGTGGGGAAACACTAGATGTTTACATAATGAAATATGAATATTGCTTTCACTGTTTTGAAGACTGTTGTATCTGTGGCCTCCATTCTGACTTGATAAATTAATCTGATAGTTTGATAATTAATTCTTTAGTCTCACTAGTCAATTTTCTGCAAGCTTATTTTAACACAAGACATCCTCATGAAAGAATTACAAGTATTCATGTCTATATTTCTCATTTCTCCTATAGCATTGTTCTTGAGTCCCATATAAAGATGGGCTTTCCCTTGCTGGGATGATAAGATTTTTAAACAGGAAAATGACATGGATGCAAAAGATGGTGAAGCACTTCAGGGACAAAAGGCATTAGTAGGTAACCTGTTGTATGGTTGTGGGGTTTTTTTCCCCTAACATCTTTTGTATAAGAGACATCATTATGTAAACATGAAATTTAAAATTTCCTTTATAAAGGAATTTTATAAAGGTCACTCTCTTTGCTGAGAAAGACAAGTACAAAATGTTTTTTGGCTTTTAAGTTGACCTTTTATCTAAGTAGCTCTTGCAACACTCATGGAAAATGAGTGTGAAGGTTTTTTCCTATATTCCCATGCTTATTTGCAAAGAGAGCTCCCTTGTCTTTGTGTTTCAACTGGTTGACTTCCTTAGCACTAGAAGGGGCACCATAGGAACTACCAGGTATTGTCCAGTCTCCCCTCCTCTTTTCAAGCTATGTACAATAGTGTTTCCCACACATGGAAGTGCACAGATTGCATTCATTGCTGCTGTAAGTTTGAACCATATAAGTTGTCTGCTAGGGATTGGTAGTAAGAATCAGTGCTTGTGTGATTCAAAGAATACATCTGGCCAAGCTAATTTTAGTCCTGTGATAAATCACAGGAAAGTTAGTAAGTAGTGAGACAAACAAACAAAAACCCCAAAAAACAAGGATATGTGTTGAACTTCTCTTTTTCTATTATTGCATCCAAGTTCCTGCAAGAGCCTCCATGGTGAGATAACAGAAGGAATTTTTCATAGTCTGTCCAGCTTTTCAGCATTAGAGTGAAAATCATATCTGTTTATATTCTTATATTTCATGTGTTACTGACCTGGTAGCTGTTGTAATAGTGAGCTGAAGTGCAGAGAAAAAGGCATTTTGATCCTTAGATATACAGAGACAATCTGAAAGGGGTTTTCTAAGCCTGTCCCTACACAGCTTTTCCATTTTGCATTAAATATTCAAACACTCACTAGGCCAGACAGAGGTAGTGAGATTTCTGTGCAGGCTGACAGCTAAGGCATGACCAAGAGATGGGTACCTGCTTTAGTGCTTGCTCTAGTGAGCAGGTAAATATTTTATAGAAACAAGCAGCTTCAATAAGACAAAAGATCAGAAATTCGCATCCGACCTGTAACCCAAATAATTCCAGTTGACAGTATGCTCTGTTAAACCAGCATTTTGCACTACCCAATGTATGCTGCCCCCTATTTCATTATACCTGGAATATTTTCTAATTCCGCTTATTTCATATATTCATTTTCCAATTATTTCAAATTTTGATCATCACAAAAATGATGTGATGATCAAGCCTAAAAGCAATGACAAGCCTAAAAGCATCTATAAACCTCAGGTTTATCTTTGAAGAAGTTCTTATGTATTTCAGTAGTTAATTTTGTTTGTTTGTTTGGTCTTTATTTTATTCTGCATTTTAACCAACGACAATTATGAACTTGTACAACTCAAGTTTCATCTATATCATGTTTAGTCCGGATCATAGTCCTAGACTTGTGTAATATCCAGCCTAATGCATGGACTGGGAGGCGTGAGTCAGCTGGGAAGTGTGACTAAGGGGTGAAATGGAACGCTTTCTAAACCACTTCCCACATGTGAAGACAACACCTTCTAGCTCTGTGGTAAAAGCCAGCTTCTTAAGCCATCCCCCAGCTGCCTCTGCGTTACAGCACTCTGGCCACAAGATTGAAAATGTTTGCTTAAAGCACTGTGGCTCGAACTGGCGGTTTGACACTGAGTTGTGATCAGCCCTGAACACTCAGGCATGGGTTGGTTTTCTTGTTCTCTGGGAGACAACACCTAAGAGTAGAGATTCAGTCTAAGACACCTAGCATCACCGCCAGGGCTCGGGGTGGGTGCTGGGTGCGAGCGTGCAGGTCTCAGGGGACATGTGGCTCTGGGGGCAGCCACAAGAGGCAAAAGGTTTGACAGAGCCCGAACAGCTGCGCCTGCGAGGCACAGAATCACAGGCCTCCTCACGGGCTGGGGAGGCTTCACACCGTCTCTGTCCTCCACCACATCCCAGCCTGTAGTTGCTCAGGTGAGGCTGCGGGGCACACAGACACCCCGTGCCGGAGGATCGCCTGCGGGGCGCTCCTGTGCTCACAGAGCTCGCTGGGGCACAGGGCACATCACGGCACATGGACAAAGTGCCACCGCTGCCGTGGGACACCGGCAACGCGACACCGATGGGATGGCACGGCTCGCTCCACTGGGATAATCTCCACAGCCCGCCTGGCTCGGGTCCATGGCCGCAGAAAGAACTGTTGTCAGTGTTTAATCGCTCTGCCACCCTGTGGCCTTTTCAAGAATTTAAATATGAAAATGCCAATTAGAAAATTGTAGTGAATCGATACTCCACAAAAGAAAAAGACTGTTAAATTAGGCTAATTTTAAAAAGGAATCATCTTTAGACAAGACAATCTTTGCACACAATTAAAAACACAAACATATTTGACTCCATCATTAATTTCTCTCCCCAATGAACACCAAAAATAACTGCCCAATCTAGTAAAAATGAAAAAGTCAGTAAAACACTGGATAATTCAATATTCATTTTCAGGAAGGCACTCTGCAAGTATTTGTCTGGGACTTCCTGGGTTGAGATGGAAGGAATAAATTTTCTTTGTGAAGTCCCTCAGAGTTTTCTCCCTGTATTACAGTCGCTTCACAGCAACTGTCAAAGAGACAAGACCTTCCCTCCCTATCTGCACCGACTGCTCTCTCTGGAGAGGAGCCCTCCAAATTGCCACTGTTAAAGATGTCAATACAGAAAACTCACCCAGAAGCATCTCAGGAGGCCCACTTACTGCACATCCCCACTGCGGAATAGGATCAGCTACACCTGTATTTTTTCTGTAACACAATTTGGCAGACTCCAGTGTGCACTCCCCTAGGAATGGAACCTGCATAGAATTTTTAGTTAAAGCATTTGAAGATTTTAATTGCCTTTGATGTTCCTCTCATTCAAATCATAAAATTTTGGAGGAAAGCTCATTTCCCTCTCTGAAGATGGGCTTAAAGGGAAGTATTTTGCCTCATGCCTCACACAGGATCTCTTCTGAAGCAGTTCATGATGACAGCAGTCTCATCATCCACTTACCAAGCAATTTCCAAGGTTGAGGCAATTCTGTTAGGTTAGGTCTGTGTCAGAACTGATGACCCAGTCTCCAGCACATAGGCAGGAGAAGGTGAAAGGACAAGAATCTCTTCTAAGTGTACAGGCAGTGAACTTTTCTGAGTCAACAGTGACTGGGGATCTGACAGGCCAAAACATCCAGTGAATGAAAATTTATTTGTGCTATCCTGGTTGCAGCCTACCACGTTATGGCAAATTGTTCAACATCTCAAGACACTGACAGCCCTTTTGATATACTCACTATTATTCATTACTCACAGAGTTGTAAAAAAAAAAATCGAGATACTCATTTAGACAATGATTACAATGGAAAAATGTTTGTCCTCTTAACAAAACAAAGTATTCAGCAGCAGGAGAAAAAAAATAAAGATGGTTAGCATCTTCACAGAAAAATATCAAAAAATATAATAGACATGGGATGCTTTAGGAATAGGCCCTAGTACCTGGTGAGGGGGGTAGATGGAAGTCTTCAGAACAAAACGTTTCCTGCAGAGATGTCTGCAGAGTTTTTCCATTTTCATGTCAGGTTGATGGTTTGGGGCTAAAAAGGGCATGGGATTAGAAGGGCTTCTAAGTATCTTGGGGAGGAGGATGGGAAGGGTATAGCCTGCTCATCTAACATGTCAGCATCGGGAAGAAAGTTGAGAATGACAAAATTGAGTGAAATGGTAATTCTTCAACAGTTACAGCCCAAGACTGCATTATTCATCATGACTGAGAGTGAAACTAGAAGGTCCTACAAGCAGAAGCATGAGAAACACCTAGAATCTAACAGAATCAGATATCTGTTCTGCAGATCATTCCAGCATTAGATTGGTTGGACATAATTTTTGTGAGGTATTATTTGTATTACATTTTATTCTTTCTCATGTAAGGCTTCTGCTCCCTTTGTTACATGAGCTTTTCCCATATTGGCTTCTTCTCATTTAAGTTTTCATCTTGCCATTTTTCACTGTCATTTTCCTGTGCCACTCTATTCCTCCACTGTATTCTTTCTACAAATAAAATACTTGATGCATTTTCCTGCTTGGGTTTTTAAAAACATTTTGCATAAAATGGCTATGGTTTTCACACTAATTTGATTAATTAATTTATTTATTTTAGATTCATACAGAAAGTGTAAGTATATAGTTTGCTGGGATATATTTGTAGTATATATCCCCAGCAATGCCTTAAAAATTAATAATAAACTAAAAACCACCCACTTTCTGAGGCTACTGCTATGCAGATAGCATCTAGTTAAGAAGTGAGATGATGGGATAACTTGCCAGATGACACATACTGGTATTTAGGTTGTCAGTATTAATAAGGTCTGCAGACTGAAAATAGCCACAAAATCCTCTACACAGTATTAAAAAAAACCCTACATTTGTTTGCATTTATCTCATGTAACTCCTCAATATTAATAATAACAACATTTTAAATATCTCTAGCAGGAAGTGGTTTATCTGATTAAATTTTAGGGCCTGCAGTAAAGTATTGCTGCTAATTTTCCCAACTAGCAAAATCATCTGGGTCCGAATTACAGGCTTTGCTGTGGTAGAAGCACTCTGGAGATCTATCCAGAAAATGATGTGCAGAGAGCAAAAGATTTTAATGATGTACTCATGCATGAAAAAACATGGCTGCCTGACATATATTCTAAATTTTAAAGGGT